CGCGTCAGTCTACGCACCAGATTTCAGACAATTAGCATATAACATCAACTAAGACGAGGAAGTATTGATGAATCAATTTTATTGGGGCTGGAGGGACGACATGAAGGATTTGTTATTATCTCTTCTTGATTTACAAACGTTTAACAAAGTCATTATCTAAGCTGTGAAGTACGATAACCGCCTGTTTCAACGTCGCCAAGATCAATGCTCAAGACAACATACGGCTCACCATGCTCCAACTATGTCAGCAAGCAGCCTAAATTCACATTTAGAGGTGGAAGACATGTAAATTGACGCAGTATGTGTCAAATTCCTAACTCTAAAAGAAAAAAAAGTAGCATATGGAGAAAAGACTATGCTTGTATTGCGGTGAAGAAAGCCATAGAGCTAGAAACTATTCCAAGAAGCAAAATCACCACATTGTCAAGACCAAAGGCATGTTTGTTCAAGAAAACAAAGATGCCCAGCGACAATAGGGACCATACAGCTGGACAATTCAATACCACAACAACAATCAGGTTCCTCTCTTTCCGCTCAGCCTACCGATTGCTTTACTATTCCTTTATTTTTTGGCCCTCATAAACTAAAAACCTTAGCGATATTAGATTCAGGAGCATCTGCTTACTTTTTAGACAAAAAATTTGCTAAGCGTCACGAGATTCTTCTAGTACAAAAATCTAAATCTGTTTACTTAGAAGTAATAGATAGACGACCTTTATTGTTTGGTAGTGTCACCCATGAATCAGAACCTATAGAGATGACGTTTAAAGACCATAGTAATTATATTATTTTCAATCTTATTAAAATTCCGTCAAACCCTATTATTCTTAGTCTTTTTTGGTTAGAAATGCATAACCCATCCATAGATTAGAGATTACGAAGGATGACATTTCCTATAAAATATTTTGAGAGTAAGCTTGTTAAAAGATTTCGAATCAAAAAACCCTTATTTATTGGAACAAGAGCGTTTGTAACATCGTCCAAGGAAGGCACACTATTTGTCATTTATGCAACTTCAACTAGCGGAGAGAAGATTTCGATAGCAAATATACTAGAGCAATATAAGGATTTTGGAGACGTGTTTCAAAAAAAGAATGCCGACATGCTACCAAAGCATCGACCATACGATTGTACCATAGACTTACAAGAAGGAGTACAACCACTTTTTTGCCTAATCTACAATTTGTCGTAGACAGAGTTAGCGGAGTTACGGAAGTACATTGACGAGAATCTAGCCAAGAACTTCATTTGTCATTCGAAGTCGCCAACTGGGGCATCGATCTTATTTGTGAAGAAGAAAGATGGCTCGCTACAGATATGTGTAGATTATCGAGATCTCAACAAGGTGACAAAGAAGAATCGTTATCCATTACCCTTGATATCAGGTCTTCTAGAGCAACTTAGACATGCAAGGATCTTTACAAAGATTGATCTAAGGAGAGCTTACAACCTTGTGTGAATCAAGGAAGGAGACGAATGGAAGACAGCTTTTTGTACAACGTATGGCCATTTTGAATAAAATATCATGTCTTTTGGTCTTACCAATGCTCTGATGGTCTTTCAATACATGATGAATGATATCTTTCGGGAGCACCTTGACGATTTTGTTGTCATCTATCTAGATGATATTTTGATATTTTCCAAGAACGTAGAAGAGCATGAGAAACATGTTTGTGTGGTCCTTGAAAAACTCCGCAAGCAAGGACTTTATGCCAAGTTGGAGAAGTGCTTGTTTAACCAAAGTGAGATGGAATTTTTGGGATTCATTGCAACTACGAAAGGCTTGAAGATGGATCCTAAGAAGGTGGAAGCAATCGTATCATGGAAAGTTCCAAAGACAATTAGGGATGTACAATGCTTTCTTGGCTTTGCTAACTTCTATCGAATCTTCATCAAAAATTATTCTCAAGTTGCTACTCCGCTCTCTCGATAGACATGTAAAGAAAAGCTCAAATAGGGACCTCTAGCAGAAAAAGCATTTCAAGTTCTTAAGATGGCATTTACTATGGCTCCAATCTTGATACATCTGGACTTTACAAAGGCCTTCTATTTGGAGACCGATGCTTCAGATTTTGCTATGGGAGCTGTACTTTTGCAGATAGGTGCAGACGAGAAGCTTCATTCAGTTGCGTTCTACTCTTGAAAGTTTTTTGTTGTCGAGATCAACTATGAGATCCACGATAAAGAACTTCTTGCGATAGTAGATTCTTTCCAAAAGTGGCGTTACTTTCTCGAAGGAGCTGCGCATCCGGTGATCGTATACACTGTTTACAAGAATTTGGAGTACTTCATGTCAAGTCGGGTTCTGAATCGTCGCCAAGCTTGATGGAATATGTTGCTATCCAGATTTGACTTTGTTATTACTTATTGGCTTGAGAAGCAACAAGGACTATCTGATGCATTATCAAGGAGGTTGTATCTAGCGCCAAAGGCTAGAGAAGCAGCGTTTGATTAATAGTGTATAACATTGTTGAAGTTAGAACAATTCAAGGCATTTTCACAATGAAGACACAGAAGTTCATGCCTGATCAGAAATCAAAGGCGTAGGACACTATCGTTGGTTACAAGGACCAATGAACTACTTACCGCGCAAACAACAATTGGAGTATATTACAGACACTATGCGACAAATTTTTAACTTCTTATGTTGGTACTGACTCGCAATAGGAGTGCTTCTTGGAGACCTCGAAGCTAAAGGGAGGGGAGGTGATGTCAAGGATATATACTAGGAAGTTGTAGAAGATTCTTGAAGGTTCTAGAGAAGCTTTGTAGTTTGTAGAAGCTATTGAGAAGTTTTCAAGCTTGTGGAAGCTACTTGAGAAGCTTCTTAATTCGTAGAAGTTGCTTGAGAAGCTTCCTAGTTTGTGGAAGCTACTTGAAAAGCTTCCTAGCTTGTAGTATATATAAGAACCAAGATTGAGGGGATCCTCAGTCTTGACAACACACCTCTTGGAGCTCTAGCTCACCTCTCTAGTGTTGAGCTTGTTCTCATCTGATTAATCTAGTTCTTGCTCATTCTTCTTGAGCTTCTTGTTTAGATTTCTAGTCAGTATTCTAAATTCGTGACACAAGTTTAGACTATAGGACATCAACAAACAACATTAGATTGTTGGATTGTATAAGTAGTTATACTTATTAATCAATAAAAGTCAATACGAATTAATTTATTATTAGGTATAAGAAATTATTAATTATGCATCACAAATTAAAATTGATTCATTAATTTCAATTAAATATTAAAAATTATTAGTTTTTAAAAGATTAATTATTAAAGAGATAACTATATTATGTATAATTAATTGAAATAGAAATAGAAATAAAATAATTTTTTATTAAAAATTTTAAAATTCTATTATAGAACTTTTAAATGAAATATACTAAAAGAAAGAATTTAGAATTCTTTTAAATCTTACAAAATATACATATATATATATATATATATTTTAGATTTAAGTTTTTTTTCACATATATTCAAATAAAATCTCTTCAAGTAAAAAACTTAATTCTTAAAATCTAAAAATCTTATAAAATTTAAATTCTAAATTGCATATAATCTTCAAAAACTTTATAAATCTTAATATATGTATATTCAAGTCTATGCTAGTTTAAATTATTACAAATCATTAAATTATACAAAATCTAATAATTACATATTATATTATAAGATTTATTTATTTATTTATTTATTTATTTATTTATTTATTTATTTATTTATTTATTTATTTATTTATTTATTTGTTTATTTAAAATAAATAATTATATTAACAAATAAACACTACTTAAAACTTCTTACTTTTTTTTATTAAAGTTATAAAAATTTCTATATTATTATTATATTAATAGGTACCTCTTTTTCATCTAGATGAGGTAAAACATGTCATAATAAGATTTCAAAGGCTGCAAATTAATCCAAAAATTATATCAAATTATAAGAATTCCAATAATTCTTTGTACATTATAATTATTTAAGATCTTATAAGTACTTTAAAATTATTACTATTTATGCTATGCCAAGTGTGAATGTTATTAATAGATAAGACAAAAAAGTGGCATAATACTCATGAGCTTTTGCAATTTCAAATAGTTAATCTCACTAATCATTCAATTAAATCTTCAACAATGGACTACTAATATACTTTTTCAATCTTAAATTACTAATTCTAAACTAAAAAACAAAGAATTATAGATATATAAAACTAAAATTTATTCAATACCAAGATCCAAAAATTTGGACAAGTCTATACTTTTCTAACTAACAACTCAAGGCTCATAAATGCAACCAATAAGAAGGTAGATAGGTAACGAGAATAGTCTTGATAAATGTACCTAAGTTTGGTCTCATATTTAAATGTGTTGTAAAAAAAGTTTAAAGGTTCTATGTATTGCAATTGTCCAAAATCAAACCAAAAATTTCTACAACATAAATAATATGCTTTAATGAGGTGTACAAGAATCTTTGTTAATATATATATATATAAATAATCATCTATTCCAAGCACATTATGTACTTATTAACATACAAACCGTGGACAAAAGATTGCATACATTGCACCTTATATTTATCCATTGGACAAAATTTACTCTCTAACCTTAATTTATAAATAGTATTGCAAAACCAATGATTTAGATTTTAAAACCAAGAAGCAAGACTGCCCTACCTACTACCAAACATTTTAAATGTCACAAAGTATGTTGGAAAACCCTGTGTTTAGTATACACTACCAATTACTGCAAATATGATGTACACAAGACAATCTAATAAACCTTTGTGTTGATGAGCCATGAGCAGGGCAACACTTTCTTATCAAGCCACTCTAAAAACTTCAATCAAGTAGGTATAAAAAAACCTGGTAGAAATGCTTCTCATCCAATTCAAATAAGTTGTAGGGAATCAACTAAAACTGAAGAATGCAGAAGAGATAACAAGCAAATCATAATTATAAGCAGTACAGTAATGGACAGGAGACCAGGATCCAAATTATCATCAGTGCAAAAAACTAAAATTAAAAAAGCAGCTCTAATACAACCATTCACAAAATACAAGAAACCTTAGCAGAGAGTGCTGCCCATACAAAAATCAAGCAAATGCATGAAAGTAAGCACACCGGGTAGAAATGAGCCTAAAACTGCAAAATTAACACAACAGCATCGTGCTTTGACCATTCAAGCTTGCGACACTGTTACCTACATTCCAGCCCAATTCAGCGACGAAAACTAACTCCACGTACCAACAAGGACGTGGCTTGAGTACAAAAAGATGGAGGAGGCGACTTCATCAACGGAGCCCCTCCAACATCAGCAATTTAAAGAAGAAAATCCCACCCCTCCTTCAGACTACTATTCTTCAAATGGCCGGTTCCGACCATACTCGGCTCTTTCAATGGTGTACCACCCACCATCCGACGGGGTCCGCACTGTGCCCCGAAAAATCCACATACAAGCCCTTCATCTCGATACAATGACTCGATTTGATGGAGGAGATGACATCGGCGTTATCACTTGCGGCATCGACATTCCTCCCGACACCACAATCTCTGCGAAACGAGGCCATCAGCCAGCCAGAGGACCAGCACGTCACCACTACAGCATACGACGACAACTTTCACATCCTCAACGTTACCTAAAAGACACATCAACGATTTGCGGATGCCAACCCACATGTCACACAAATGCGGTACACCCTAACCAACCAGAAAAAATCTCAACCGTACCGATGCCTTCCCGCACGGACAAGCTCGGTCGGATCACGTCCTTCGAATTCACAAGGAAAATATCGCCGATGTAAAGGTGATTCGTAGGTACATATATACTGCACAGCTCCTCGTCCCCAGACTCGTTCTGATTCGTCACAACAAGTACCAGTCACCCGGTCAGCTCCCGTTCTGAGCCATCACCACACAACCCAGCCTATGCTCAAGCAAGGCTTTCGTGGTTTGTGTGCTGGGAACAAAATATCCCTCACCTGTCAGTGCCCCAAGCTCTTGCAAACGCACCACCTCAAAAAACAGCAACTGCAAGCTGCCAAATCTAACATCAAGCCGCAATATTACGCACTCCACCACTTGCCACCACTCAACACTTCAGATCAAGGCTTCATAGCTCGTGTACACATGATGTGACCCTTGTGAAGTCGAGTGACTCCGCACGGGGATCTCCAACTTGGATCGTGACCGTCTGTCACTGAGTCATGTCGTGGCACCTCGAGGCGTACTGAAAAAAGAGGCACATGATGCAAAGGCACCTCACCTGAAGAACAAGCGTGGAAGTGATGAACCCAAACGCGTACTCTCCAATTCGAGGATGGCGAATTATAGCTACCTCTTTGAATGCCTGTGTATTTTGATCTGCTCAAACAACACTGACTTCAGTTGCCTAATAATTAGACCTATGTGAAACGTAGCTTAGCAAGGAACCCGTATTGAAATCTTGAAGCAACTTTAAATAATCTCGCTCTGATATAATGTTTCAGCAAGATCTGCCAACCCATACCGAATCATTCTAAGTGCTACTGCGTCCTTGTGAAGGTAGAGTTATTAGTGAGACGAGTGGGGCTTGTATCTGCTATCACTAACTCAAATTTGCGAAGTAGAAACATCACAGTTGTAACTAACTGTCGATGCCACAACAACAATAAGATATACCTGGAGAAATGGCAGCACTAATTTGCTTCGAAGCAGAGTAAACTTGCTTCACAAGTGGCATGCGCTTGATGAACCATTCGCCAACCGTTATCACAGATGTTCCAATCCACGATGCTCCAAATACTCCCACCAGAAATATGAACGCAAATGATGTCACAAAGCCAAGTCCTGGAACAAAGCCTCTGTACATATCAGCTTTTATACACTTCATGCACAAAACCCTAAAATAATTCAATTTGCAGTAATACCTGCTTGAACCGTATCCAACCCATTCGTCACTGTGTTAGGAAACGGAAGAAGCATCATGTGTGCAACATCAAAATAGTACATCGACCCGGAAAATTCAATAAAGTCGCTTACCAAACACATGAATGCCGAGATAATCATAAACTGGAGAAAAGAAGCTGTCGAAAAATTGGATAAACCACCACGTAATGTAGAATGTAACCGCTATGGGCAACAGGATAACGCTATTTCAAGCACCAAAGGAACTGGTTAAATATGGGTCAACATACACTACAAACTAAAGGAAGTTAACTATATTCAACATGTACCATGTTGGATACTCATGTTATTTGTCTACTAACGTTAAATCGAGTAAGGATTCAAATCATTCATTAGTAATAACAAATCATAAAAACAATGAAGTTTCAATTTCCCCAATGATAATACACATGAGAACCAAGTGATACAGGACATTAGGTGTCAAAAGTCTGCTAAACACAACCTCTAAACCTTCCTAAGATACATATGCAGTAACATATACAACAAATTCTTAGGTCACTACTACACCTCAAGCTTTACAAGGAAAATATCAAATGGAATAGGATAGCTAAAGAATACACAAAACGAAAAATAAGATTGCGGGAACTTACCAGCCGCTCATGAACTTCTTCGATGCCCAATTTGAGAAGAAACCAGAAAACGCCTATCACAGCAAAGAAAGACTAAAATCAGCAAAAAGTCTGGATGCTACAAATCCACATGTGAATGTAGATAGCATAGAAAACTCCAGGAATATATTCAGATTAATGTTTTAGCCAAACTGTTTTATCATGTTCATACCAAAATGTTTCACTAAGACGTCTAATTCAGACATATTTCAAACACCAAGAGTCAGAGCAATCCGTATGTTGGTGGATGTTTTGCACCTTCAGAAGCTCTTCTGACGGTTCTTTTTCTTCCAATCAAAATTTCCTTTAATCATGAAGTAGCACCCAACAGACAAGCGAACTAGAGATATTGCAAGTTCGCTTCCTAGCTCAAAAAATTTAATATAATAGGAATCTTAAGACGCAGTTACTAAATATCTGTCACGTTGTTAATAATTAGGCAACTAAAACACACTACAAGAAAAGTGCAGAAAATTCATTATTATGTGGTTCAGAATTGAATAGACAAGTAAAACAGTTCTAACTTTATTTTGGAATCCTTGTTTAGGATGGTAGATCTAACTGCGTCAAGATGTGATCTATAGTTTACCTTCTATAACTTTTTGTTCGGCATTTTCCCACACTGATTCGTTAAAACCACTTTTAGATCATTTTACAGCTGAAGTGCCTTCATATCTCCAAATGTTTGAAGGATTGACACTCCTCATTAACAAAAGCAGAAGAGCAGAACATCTAGTGATATAACCCTGCAGGATTATATTCAAACAGAAATATCACCCCAGACCAACACATATACAATGCGGACGACAACCAGTTACACGATTTCGGAAAGATGCAAATACCATCACTTCATCCACTCGAACCGACAGAACACAACAGCAATAGTGTTGTCCGCCCCTTCCCGCTTGCAAAGAACACAAATTAATAATTTAAGTTCTCACATCAAACACCATCGTTTACACTCGGTTTTTTTGTTTGTTTCACCTGATTTGCTCCTCCTTTCACACTTCCAGATCTTCCAGTATTTCTCAAATGTGAACTTGGTAGCCGAGCGATCTTTGAAACAACACACAAGAAAGTCCTTGTAGTGAGAACGTTGCACTTAAAAAGAAAACAACGTTGACACCTCTATGATCATTATTGATATGATCATAACAGATTTGAAACAATTTTCACTATCATTGATGGCGGCATATCCCAGCACTGTACGCGTCATGAACACGCTGGTGCTGCGCTTAAGCTCTTCCACTACTCCTATACACTCTGACGAGGGGAAAAGATACTGCTAACGCATTGTAGCGATATTCAAAAACTTCATCTATATACTTGATAATGTACATCGAGAAAGCCCCATAAATAAAAACTCTCACCATTACTGAATTTCTACCTGTACTCCCTGCTTCAAGAAACAAAGCATACTGCAACTGAAGGCCAATGTACACAAACTAAAATTTGATAACTCGTAAGACATGCGGGCACCAGTTCCGAAACAATTTGTCAATTACGAATGACTTAGATAATTTACCGAAATTGGCGTACGTGAGACATTACAGGATTACAACCCATTGTGCATAACAAACAAGACTACCACAAACCAGATGCACAAGCTCAGAATGCACTCGTCCACGATTGATGCAATCATCCTGAGGCATGGGTGCAATAGCTTCATTCTCAACATGGACAAATACTACGTCCACTAAGAACGGACACATCAGCTATTATACGAAAAAGAACAATACCGGAAAAAGTGGAAAGGGTGGAAAGGGTGAAAAGGAGCACACCGCAGGGAGCTATACATACCGTTTCCACAGACGAGTAGACGGAGCAGAAAAATCAGAAAAAACTAAAATAAAATAAAATAAAATGCAGAGAGAAAGAGGATTAAGCAGATTGTAAGTTTAATTTTTTTGTCGGCGCAGTTGATGGCTCTCTCATCGTTCACCACTGACTTGACCAACTACAAGATACTAAAATCCGCAGATGCTTCGAGGAGAAGGAAAGAAAAAAGAAAAAAGAAAAAAAGGCAGGACGGGAAAAAACCGAATAGAACACAACGCACCTCCCGTCCTGGACGATAAGCTGAAGGTGAAGGCTGGCCGGGTTTCTGAGGATCCTCTAAATCCTCTCCATGTCCAACCATGAGCAACTCCCTGTCACTCCCCTCCTGTCGCGATGGTGAAGCTTTATCGTCGCCCATGGTCGCAGAAGCAATCCGTCCTGTCGCGCTGAGCTACGACAAGCTCGGAAGAGAGTCCACTCTAGTAACAGCCCCACGCTAAACCCTTTCTCTCGCCTATCTCCATACACACAATCTAATCCCCTCCTGCACCGTCGCGCGCTTCATAAATCTCCAACACACCAGAAGCTAACAACTATTAACAACAGTCATGCTCTCCAAACATCTTCGCCGAAATCCATCCCCGTTTCCATCACCCTCCAGACATGCTTCCGCTTGATCATCCGCTCGCTAACCTCTTCCAAAAATAAAAATAAAACTAAAAGCTAAAAAATAGAGATAGAGAAAAAAAAAAAAAAACAAAACAAAACAAAACAAAACAAAACAAAAAAACACAATCCTGTTGTTCCACGAGACCCTAGCAAATGAAACACCTAAACTCCACTGCAACTCACGCAACAGCAACGATGCCCATGCGAGATCAAAACGCACTGAGAACGGGCGGAAAATCGGGCGAGAGATTGATGACACAAGTGTGTAACTATTGCGAAGAAATCGCGAGACGAGGTGGAATCTGCCGCTACCGGAAGCTCTGCAGTGCTTTCCGGCAGCCATGCTCGGGACCCTCCCGCCCCCGTCGAGTGCCGGGTGAGTGCTTCCTCAACGGGCCGGGCGCCCGCCCAAATCGAAGACCCGGCCCCTGATAACTGGAGCATCTGGGGATTCCATGCGGAATTTGCCCAGCGTTGGGTATTGGGTGGTTTTCCAGGAAGATTCTGAGTGGAATGGTGGAGGCAGGTAGGAACTGGCTTCGAGAATTGGCTGCGTTAGGTTACATGGTAGATGCACCCATACCTGTCTCGTACCCATACTCACACCTGCCCAAATCCCCCTATAACCAAACTTTATTTTATGAATTGTTTCGTGCGCATGTATTCATGTTTATAGGCTCCATGTAATGGTCATTTATTATATCTTATTTTTAAGAAGATTTGAATCACAATTGCTTGTGCAGTTCATTATTAGATGGGTTTTGGAGGATCATCTACCAAGAAACTTCTAGATTTATATATATTTGTATAACTCATTCTCATTTAGTTTAAGGGAGAATTTTACTAATAAGATTATATTCAACCAAATGAACCTCCATTATAAAACATTTATGTCACGTTTTTTAAATTTGACATTTTCAAAAGTATGTAAAAGTTTAAAATGCATGTCAATATCATATTTTGAGTATATTAAAATAAAAAATAGTAATTAAAACTAGAAAATTTATTAATTCGTGATAAAATATGATTAATAATGTGATATATTATTATTTTAAATAAAAATTAATAGCCATTCGTGTATTAATTTTTATTTATTTATATTTTTAATATTATAGGATAAGGTTAGGCACATTAATATGTAAATTTATTCTTTCCACTTATTGACAATGAAAGTATTCACGAATTAAACTTAAAATTGTTTAAATCCTACATTACAGAAGATGATTTTAGATTGTAAATAAATAGACATAATTATCATTTTTTTTTCATGATATTACATAGAATGCCATCTTAATTTTCATTCAATTAATTGCCATCAAAAAAAATTCAACGCCCACTAAAATCTCAATGGAATAAACATGGTGTAATTAAATAGCTTAGTATATAGTATACAATCACAAACTAAAATTCTATTTACTTATAAATCAATCTTTAAATACGTAGTCAACAATAAATTGTAAGTAAGACTGTAATGTTTTCGTTGAAACTTTTGCACATTATTCTGCTATAAATTTTCTTAAGTCAATGACTTTGTTTCATAACAAAATTTTCAACACAATGTTACTACTATACATGTGTTGCATTTTATAATTTAATTTAATTTACTTTCCTTTTCCTTTGAAGAAATTGGCAAAATTCATTAAAAAAAACATGCCTGATTTACTAGGATTTGATAATTATCATAGCACATTTTTTTTATATGTATTTATAAAATCTTTTTGACATCAACACAACATGAAATGTTAGTAATTTTATTAACGTCTTTTATGAAAAATTATATTGATTTACAGATAATACTTAGCATCAATGCTAATTTCATTATAAGAATACTTTAAAATATTAAAGCAAGATTAAAAAATTATTATTTAATATTTTGAATTGATTATTTGTCTATTTTTTTGTTGTTTGAACAATTTGGATTGCAAGAGGAGGAATTATATATAAACAGAAAATAGAATTGAAAGTTTTATGCTTGATGGCGCTATTATTACTTTAATACAAATCACATCAAATAATAACAGATACACCCAAACCAAAATATTGGTTTAAAGAAAAATACTTGAAACAAAATCAATGGGTTGTAAATACGTTTGCATACTTCCCTCAAATATTTTTCTTTGATATATATATATATATATATATATATATATATACTTAAAAAATTACAGAAGTGACCATAGGAATCCTGCTTTCTTCTAGAAAAAAAAATAAATAAAAAAAAAAAAAATAAAGAACAATTACACTTCTTTTTTACTGTTGGTAAAAGAGAAAGAGAGAATCTAATAAGGGATGGATGTGCAAAAATTGGCAAGACCATGCGGAAGACCAGTTTGGTTTCTTCTTCGTCTTCCAGAAGGTCGTCTTGAGGCACAAAATGGATGAACAGAAAATCAAACCAGAAGGATGGCCCAATGGATGAACTTCCAAGCGGATGAAATCCTTTTGGGCCACGTCAGAAATCAGAGGAAGGGACGCCGGAGCATCCTCCTCAACCCGAGCTCACGCTTGACTGAGGGAGAATTCCATTTCTACGCTTGTTTCTACGCATGAATTCGGAGTCTCGAACGCTGCCATCGTCATGCAGGAGAAGAGAACATAGGAAATAGCTCACTTAGGTCTCTGGTTTAGCGAGGCGGGAGGATGGAGACCACTACAAAAGTAGGTACGTATGGGGATGCGGAAACGGTGGTGGTGGTGGATCCACAAGAGTGAGCAATCTGAGTGTTAAATGATGCCAATGTGATGCGTAGATTATGAAGCAACCTGTGTCCTAATTCATGGTTTGTCTCGAGGATGCTGCTAGTTTCGGCGGGACTTTGTATAAGTTCCTACTCATGACATGACTGCAGACTTGATAGATTTTGAAGAATTCATCGCCAGGAATGTTCCTTCTAATGGCCGCACCTGGGCGAAGAACCGATCCACTGATTTCTGCACATACAACACGACGTCGTAAGGTTTACTGTGGCTTAAGAAGAAACGTTAGGGAGGTACTGGCATTGGTAGAGCAATTTCCATTTCAATTCCTTTAGGTCGGTGATTGAGTTGGTGTGTAGGAATAACAAATAGTATGATTAAATGTTTCTGGTGTTATCACTCACCTTTCCGTCCTCGGAGGCAGGAAGTCGTTCATCCTCGTAGAAGAACCCCTTGATTCCTTTCTTTGCCTGAGAAGTCACGGTGAGTCGCAATTAAATTTGAATGTTTGATAGTTTTTATGACTTTTCTTTAGATAATTATCTGCACAGAAGTTAGATCGTCGAGCTTGCGAATCGTGTGTACCGTCGGATCCTCGTGAGGGTATGGAGGTCGCACTATCGGAGGCCGGTACTTCAATCTTGCGCGGCACATTTGAGTCATCTGATTGGTTTGCCCATAGGTAGTGGAGTAGTGGTTGTTGCGACTGTGATCCAGCCCCCACATGTACTCTGGATTCTCATACGCAGGGCGCTGCTCATCCCATCTCAATTCGAAAACCACGTGAAACACAACCCCATTCTGCGTTTTCATGGTTTAAGAGTGAACCAACTATAGATTTGTGTTGTAGGCATGAATTGTGCTTACCTTAGGTTTGTGTCCGGTGTAGCCCGGTTGCTTTCCACCCCATTCTTCCATGTCCCGGGTATGGTAGCGAGGCAATTGTACGTAGTATGCAGGCGAGATCTCCTCCAGGGGAATGAAACCGCCATAGCCTGGAAGATGTCTGCCTCTTTGATTCTCTTTCTTCCATTCCCTTTCCTCGAGTGCCCTCACCTGCTCGAGTCCACTCTTGAAATTAGGTTAATCTGCATGCTCATTCATTCTCATAACATGGATTGTATGTACTTCTTTTGTAGTGCTAGATTTCATGTGCATGGAACGCTCTCGTCTCTTTGCATATTCTCAAGGGCACTTATCAGATGTTTAACGTAACCACATCAACTCTTTACGGTAACGCTTCAGATAAGACGCTTTGTGCAATGGCTGCTGGACAAGAATGATCAAATTCATAGTGCATAGATTCCAAAATTCTGTTGGATAAATTGTACCCAATAAACATTTAAACAGGTGGCTCATAATCATGCATTACCCTTTCACAAAGCATCTGCATTTTCAATCGCTTCTTCACTCATGAGAAGTCTTAAAAGCCGATCTCCTTTGGAAGGTTCATGTTGCCTTGGACAACAGGAGGTGTCGAAGACTCTTGGGACTAACCCTGGATTGGTGATCTGTGGCTCGTATGTCGAAAAGGAATGAAACACCATCAGGTGAAGTTTGTGGTTAGAGATTCAGTGTGTTACCGCACAAAGAACGAAAGTTCGAAAGACATTCCTTTTCATATTTGAGTGCCTCTTCGTGCCTGTGGGTTATCTTTGGCTTCCTGCTGCGCACATTCAGATCAGTTTCATTGACTCCGTCATCGCTGTTCCTCCGTTCTGAGGACCAGGTTTGTATTCTTTCATCTTCTCCGCATTGATACATCTTATTCAGTGACTTAAAACGTTCAACCACAGCTGAAGGTGATTCAGGTTCTGATCAGCTGCATCGACGTGCAGACCCCAGCAAAAGTGAAGCACCGAGATAACGATGCAACGCGCCTCGGCTGTCATTTATGAAGGTAATGAATTCTTAACAGTTAGTGTTGAAGTTGAAATCTGGAATTATTTTAAGGTGGCTGTGTAAGAAGATCATATTGTATTACAACGTGTACAAATTTGTTTAAACGGTATGGTCATAGCTTCAATTACTTTGTAAACTTTGTTTTTGTTTTAATAATGTGGATGAGAAACTCAATTACTTTTTTTGATACATTCTTAATTTGAAATGAATCGGGATAGATGATATTTCTTTTGAATATTCAGTTTGATAATGAAATTACCATTAAAATTTTAAGTTCTTATTTATGTTTCTTCATTGTAATTATTATAACATCTAAAATAATTATGTTAAAAGAATTTCAAAATCAATTGCATTTATGGTGGTATTTTTGTTTTTATAATTTTCAAGCTATAGAATCTTAATCAATTCAAAGAAGTGCATCTTAAAAGGGCAAAATACAAGGATTCTAAGATCTATTCTTGCATTCTTCAATGATTGTCCTTGAAATTTGTTGATAGTCATTGTAATTTTTACCTTTATTAGAAATTGGCTTTGCTACAATTTGAACAAAATCTTTGCAAATGATGGATATAATGTGATTTTTGGAAGAAAAGCCAACTATCTCTTATAGTCTCTAGATAAAAATCTTCCTTTTATAACTCAATTAGTGAGTTGTGTAATAATCAAGCATGATTCATTGTGTAGTCTTTGAAATGGAGCAATATTTTGCAACAACATAATAAGATAGCCAACCTTTTATTTCTAAACTAAATGGTGGCAATCTAAATGGACTTAAGTTATTCAAATACTTGATTGGATAATAATAATTATTATTATTGAAACTATTTTTATAATTTCTTTATCTATACAAAGATAAATAAGTAAAATTTTAGAATATCATTTCATAATACACTTCTTTAGATCATCAATATGATATTTTTGTGCAAATAAAATAAACTTGTCTATAAAATATTTATATTTAAGTGTCTTATCTTCATCCAATCTTATACAAACAACTTAAATCAAATCATTTCATGTTGAAAATACTTTTATATGTTCTAAAAAAATCATGGTACTTTTCAATGGATCTATAATTGTGGATCTGTTTTCAATTTGCAAATGAAAATCCTTTTTAGATATATTAAACAAAAATATTCTATCATAAAAAAAAACTTAAAAAAAAACCTTTTATAATACATATCTTTAAGAGTTATTTAGCAAATAATTAATTTTCATCTGATATATCTTTCAAATGAATATTTTTGATCAACTTTCAGACTTTAATATTAGACCAAATCTATGATCATTGCAAAGAAACATTAGCAATTTCTTCTCTTAATCCTTTAACAATAACAAGATTTTTTTTCAAAAATCTCTACTAAAGACTATAGTAATTCCACCAAATAACTTATTAGTACCATTTATGCCTTAGAAAGTTTAATTGATTTTTTAATCACAATGACAATATTCAATTGGTACTTCATTCCAAATAATCAAAATTGTCTTTTTTAGCACATCTACGTATGGTGCGTTTATTGCAATATTACAAAACAAATCTTCATTAAGTTGGAGTGAAATTTTAAACATAAAATGTGAAATCTGTCTATTACTTAAAAATTATATTTCAATTTTAGAAGAAGCAACACATTAAAAAAAAAATCATCACTTTAAAACTTTATTATTGTTATATTATAGACAAATATTTTTCCACTTCTTATTGGTCCTTCTAAAAAAATACATCTTTTTAAAATTATTATCTACTAAAGTAATAGTATCCAAATACATGGTGTATTATTTATCATTCAATTTTGGTACATATGCTTCTTCTATTCATTTTAGCTTGTAATAATTCCATGCCATATGAAATTGTAATAATTCCATTCTATTTCATTTTAGCTTGAAATAATTCCATGCTCCAAAAGCATTCAATTTGTAGTATTTTTTTTTTCAATTCACTTTTAAAAATAATATCAATCAAATATTAAAAAATATTTTACTTAATTTTTAAACAATTTTATTAAGAAAAAATAGTCTATAATTTAATATCTATCTTTTTGTTGGCTTTTTAATTCTATAATTTTGAATCAATTGACAACCGACATCATGACAAAAACTTTCTTTAAACTTATCTTATAGCTTTTTTAGGTATATAAATAAAAATAATAATAAATAATGCTCTTAATTACTTTTATATTTTTATTTCAAGACTTTTTTTAAGCATTGCTTTTATTGTTTGTTATCTCCAAATAATTCCATTTCTAAGCATGCATTTTTAACATTTGGTTAGAGCACTCCATTTATAATACGTAAATCTTTTAGTGAATGTGGTGTAAATACCACCATTAGAAGAAGCCAAATATAGAATCTTTTTCTCCCAATAGGATCAACAATATAAAATCTTCAAATTATAAATCCATGTTGTTTTATTATCTACTTTTTTGAGGTCTTATTCTATACAAAATGTTACAAAAAATTATGATGCTTGTATTACCAAAAAATCTCTATAGATTCACACATTTTAAAAAATATTGTCAAAGTTATTTTTTGTCACTTTCCAAAGACTTCAACTATATCATTATTTGGATCAAAAATTATTTGATGTATTCCAAGAAAATATAACACCAATCAAATCATATTTGAAACTTCTTCATGCATTTTCATTCCAAACAAACACTATATTACCTCTGAAGCTCCAACATACTATGCATCAATGTTTTTCTTGACATCATTCTTATTTTTTCTAATTTTTATTTTTGTAGAATTATGTATTTTGGAGAAATACTTGTGAATATGTTTCACAGCATGAATTGAAGCACAAACCTTAATGTTGATATTGTGGTTATATTTTTTGCTAAAAATAAGATTATATAGAATAATATTTCAATTATTTATAATATGATTGCCAATGTTGGAAGTTCTTCATTTATCTTTCTATGATATTGAAGATAGCCATCACCATCCATTGATATTACTTCTTAATATTCTTTTAGATATCTTTTTTGACATATTCCATCTTTTATGGATAGAACTTACATATTTTGAAGTTTATATAGATTATTAATCATGTAAGTACTAATTGTCTCAAATAATAATGGATCTTCTTCTTTAATAGAGAACTATGTACAAACAATCCTATCAATATTGGTTGGATATTTGATTTTTATATTTGATTTTAAAAAAAATGAAAAGTAAATATGTAAAAGATCTTGCTTCTAAAACTCAATAGTATGCACTCTTATAAGTGCATGTCTTAAAATGTGATGCTTATAAACATCTTCAATTAATGTATACTATTTGACTTCAAATACTTTTTCTACCAAGTCCAAATAATTCTTGGACCTTTATCTTGAAAACAATGCATTTGAAATCTTTGACTATTGTAAATTTGCTATCATTATACCAAATATATTTTTATGTTAAAAGTATCAAGTAATGGCTATAAAATATTGAATTTTTTAAAATAGGTTTCTTATACTTCCAATATAAGACAACAAAAAAAATTAATCAATCTTAGATTTTATATGTCAACTTCTTGGTTTTGCATATCTTCAAAATATTTGCCAATCCTTATTATATATTTGTACATAGCCTATTTTGATGCATATTGAAGTATCTCAACTGATTTTGCTTTGTTACTATTAAAACATCTACAATAAATTCTTGTAGCAACTTTCTACTTCATAAGATAGTTGAGTACTTATTATATTGTGGAAAAAATTAACATGAATAAAACTTCATTTGAATAACACATACAATCCACATATTTTTATAACAATCTTTACTGGCATTCATATCTCTATGTCTCATTTAGTCATACTATCCAAAATCTCTTTGTAGAAAAAAAATAACATAAGAAAGTGGCAAGTATGTATGATATCCTTCATAAATTTGTTGCAATGCACATCTTTTCTTTTAAAAAATTATATCTTTCATCTCTTTTGCTTTTATTCTATTGCCCAACATAACAACTATAATTTTATTAGAAATTAGAAGATTATAATACCTTTTGTCAATATCTTTACTAAAATAAAGATGTACGCATATATTATCACGACTCTCTTCTCTTCTTCTTACTTTATAAAATATTTTATGAGCTTATCAACAAAGTCAAAAAAATAAGTGATGTTTATTCAAACATTCTTGAAGCTCCCATATTTTTTTAATTAAAAAATTATTATTATATGACATCCTTGCTTTATGTATAATATTGAGACTATAATTATAAGGTTACATATACCTTGCCTCTATACCTTATTCCAATAAAAGAATATTTATTTGATATCAAAGCTCTTAAAATATGTAAAAACTATACAAATCATATTCTTACAAGATAATATTACCAACTTTTACACCAAGAAATGCAAATGCTTGTACAACATTATATTATCAAATAGTCTTCCAAAATTTCTTACTTTTTTATTTTATCCATCAAATAGTTATTTAATTAACAATAAGAAATCTTTAAGAAGCAAAAATTTAATGAAATAGGATCAGACTATCTCAAAAATCCAAATTCCTTCTATTCTACAGCAACATAAAATCTTATTACAAAATAGGACAAAATAGACCAGAATAGAACTGAATGGAAGTAAATAGAATAAGACACGAAAGACAAACTAAGCAAATAGAAAC